TATCATCATACATGTAATGTGATGTAATCGTTAGAGAGTACGTTTTCAAACACAGTTAATGAAATCTTGATAATGTGGAAATTTAGGCTCTGCATCAAAATGACTATGCGTATTCTTTATAACGCTTTTTTCTTTAAGTTTAAAATTACTTTGAATGAAAAAAAAAACATTCTTTATGCAGTAAATTAAAAATTCATATTTTTTATGTAATACACCAGTCACTCTTGTTTGTAAAAAACTACAAGAGCTACAAGTTACTCTTGGAAATGTACTTATGAGAGTGATTGCTTTTGTAAATATTACCATTAAAGTATGAAAGGTTATCAATGCCATTTTATTAACCTAATGTCATGCTAAGAAAAAATGTATAGTTGTGGCTCTGCCAATCATCAGATGGCATTACTGAAGTATTCAATCGATAGGATACGAAACTGGTAAATAAAAGTGTAGACATCTTATATTCATTCAAGAATATATAAATCTAACAACATTTTGAATTGATGTTCATGACAAAACTGTCTTAATAAAGATAATAAAGAACATTATAAAAGACAAATTACTGAATTCTAATGTAAATTTATAGTTTACAATCTGAAAAATGCTTAATCACCTGGTTGTGATTACATACTATATGAAATTTAAAAAATATTTGGAACAATATAAAACACGAATATATAGAAACAGTAAATGAATCTTGAAACAGTCTTTATGTATATTGATTTATAAAAAAGATGATTGAATTAAGCCTAACAAAATTTCAGACCAATTAACTATTAAGTAGTAACAATAAAATAATTGCATTTTTACCCACTAAAAGGTTTTACTAAGCCTAAAATCATGCCAACAAACTGTTGGTTGACATTGTTACCCTCAAGTTAATTGTATGTTTCTTTAACTTTAGCTGTTTAATCCTAGTAACATATCACATTTTGATGGGGATGCAGTCATGTTCATATAATACTGGTAATTAGTTGCTGTACAACATGCTATTTTGTCCACTGCCATCACATTTATTCAAAAACATCCATGATACTATGTTAACTTTGCTATGTGACACATATTAGTAACGAATTGTAGCAGCGTATTTGTGTTGAAACTGTTTTATGACAAAAAAAATTTGTGATTATTCTTGACCCACCTTTATATGGCAATATATACGGCTTTGAAACACAACCAATAGCTTTACAAGCACTGAAGTTTCAGGGCATGCAATATATACTGCTGCTAAGTGACTGAGGACACCCAGTACACAACTTATCTGTAGCACTTATCTATTAGCTAAATGTAGACTAGTGTTTCATTTAAGTATCTCAAGAGAAAATTGAAGTGAAATATGTCTCATAATTTCTGGTAGTGCCCTAAAAATTGAGTTACTAATTTCTAAGGTTTAAAAATAATTGAGGAAAAGGTAAACATTATAAACTTTTTATTCTGTCTTGCATTTTTATTATCAGGTATGACACTATTAGGTTAATAAGTACATACTTATAAAGAAAAAATCAACTAAGACTAATGAGTAATGTAAATTATATTCAAATATTCAAAGATATTAAGTTATAACTAAGTATTTATTACATATGTATAATATACATACCATTATTTTATTTTGAAAACTTTTATGAGTACCATGCTAATACTTCATTAATAATAATTTATGTAATTAATGTATAATGTTGTAAATAAAGAAAAATTAAATTAAACTTATTTTTTAAAAGTAGGCTTTATTCTTTGTCATAAGCTTTTTTCAATACTTGTTTTAAACACCCCAAGCACATTTGATCTTTAAACTATGTAACAAATATATTTTTATTTATGTTATTGCTAAAATTAGATTCTGTTGTAGAAATGTTTTTGGTAATTTTTTTAGTATTTAAACATTAACCTTTTACAACACGATACATATACCTTCCCGAGCTGATTCTGACCAAAATGAATAGGTCTGGGAAGGTATTTCATAAAATCAAAATTAGTATTTGAAATGAGCACATTGTGGTACTAATGTTGGCATCAGAGAAGAAAAAGAAGACAGTAGACGTTTCTTCCGTGTCATCATCTGGTTCAGAGAGTGAGGATTCAGATGAGGTGAAATCAAAGAAGAAGAAACACAAGAAGCACAAAAAGAAAAGTAAACATAAAAAAGAGAAAAAGCAAAGTAAAAAGGAATCAAGGTTAGTATATGATGTGTGAAAATATATAGGTATATATTCATAAATGATACTTTGTTTTGGTCATCAAAAGTATTTCAAGGGTAAAAAAAAAGTTCAAAAGTAAAATGAATTGTCCCAATAATTTTAATTTTTTAAAAACAAATGAAATGATTAACTGTAATTACAAACACTTCTGAAAGATGTTTAAAGCACTGTCTACATTATGAGGAATGGTACATTTTTGACCTAAAATAAACCTATCGTCATGGATGTTAGCCTATTTGTTCCATTAACCTAAGCCTAATTACAAATTTTTTTTTATTATTATTAAACAGTAATTAGGTTCTAGCATTAAAAATGATAGTTATTTTTAGGTGACCATACACGATACTAATCATAACGATGATTGATGCACAGTTGTTATATCCTTATAATAAAGACTGAAAACATACTGAGTGGTTTTTCTTGATTAGAAACTTTTTAATTCCTAAAATACAGTTATGTCATCTTAACAAATAATAGATTAATTTTACAAACAAATTAAAATTGGAAAATTATTATTCTACAATCAATTATGTGTGTGGAAATTAACAATACAGGTACCACAAAAGCATTTTGTTTTTAGCGGGTTGGCTTTTGTTTTATTTCAAAAATTCACAAGTCTTACGGACTTATATGAAACAGTAAATTAAAGCTTTTTTGGGGTATCAATATTTTATATTTGTTTAAAATTCTATTTCCTATCATTATGCAGGTGGATCTTTAAACTCACCTTCTGGTATTACTGTTTTTTACACAGTGCATTAAATGTTCTTTATAACAATGTATATAAGAATATTATTTCAAAAGTAACTGCAAAAATTGAAACTACATCGAACTTTACACATCCTTGTTTAAAGAAGTACTTAAAAGACCATTTTGCAGTGTTCTAATGATGATTACATCATAATTCCAAGATACTTGTTTAAATTTTGAGGTCCTTTGAGTAAAACAAAACTTAATTTCAAAATTTACATTTTGTGATGATGGTAATATATTTCTTTCACTTGTTGTGTTTTAAACTCCTAATATATATTATAGAAAGAACAAAAAAACCTTATCTCATTGTTTCCAACTTGTGAGATGTTTATTACATAAACTTGCACACATTGATCCTCACAATATTCTGCACACTTAGAAAAATTTTATCAAAATACATTAACCAGTGTTTTTCCTGGTAATGTTAATATGTTTCTTGCACTTGTTGTGTTTTAAACTCCTAATATATATTATGGAAATTACAAAAAATCATATATGCAAATTGTTTCTGACTTGTGAGAAGTTTATTACGTATACTTGCACACATTGATCCTCACAATATTCTGCACACTTAGAAACATTTTATTGAAATCACCAAACTTTTACTGAAGAAAGAGAGAGAACTAAAAAAGCAATGCTATTTAAAACTTAATACTTTGGACATGATAAAACCCTTGCATCTTGCAGAATAAGTTCTTTTGAAGAAATATGCTACAGGTTATTTAGAGAATGGATGCTGGAACTATATATTTTCTTTCACTGCTCATTCATAAATAAGTTCATAATAATACAATTGTGTTATATTGTAACAGTATCAAAAAAACGAACATAATTAAAATAATTATTTTGTATTAACATATTAAAAAATGTCTTTTTAGTAAACAAAAAGAAGAAAAAAAACAAAAAGATGATGATTATGAATGCAGTATCCAACCAGAAGATATTCCAGAAATACCTGCTAACCGTTTCCTCCTTCGCCGCACATCACCCAATCCTGGTCCTGGAGATCAAAGGTATGCTATTGAGTAGTTATAAAAAAAAGTTTCAGCCATACATTTGGATTTCTAAAATAAAAAATAAACGGATATTTAAAGCTATTTTTAAGTTTAACGTAACCATTACATATTTTTAAAGTAACTAATTGTTAAATTTATTTTGTGATCAGCTTTACAGTGGAAATGTTTTTAAGCAATTGAAACTGCAAAATTTTCAACTTATAGGATTAAGCCATCTTTAGACAGTGTATGATTAACAACAATTACAAACTTTGAGGGTTTTTTTTTATTCCAGGTTGGGTTTGACAGAATTCTTTAGACAGTTTCCACCATAATAACAAATTAGATTTTAACTTTGTTGAAAAATAAATAAAATACATTTTACTGATGACAGCAATTTCTTTATCTTGTCCTGTTTGACCGATATCATTAATGCTATGGTTCCCTACAGCTGTTTCATTGTAACATTTCAAGAATGGGTCATCTTGTCCTCTGACATGAACTTTTGATAGGTAATAATGCTAATGGTGAGGGATCAGCCGTGTCACTCCCACTTTATTTTTAGTTACATTTTATTTTGAATTTTGTTGTGTCAATACTTGACAAATCACCATCAGTGTATCAGAACTTCATATTATTTCCTTAATTATCTTATTAGGAGAGAGAATGATTTTCATTTGATTTCTTATGTATTCATTAGATCATCCATTTTTTTCTATTGCAACCAACACTAATTATATTCTGTTGCTTAGTATTAAGGACAACATATTGTAAATCTGTGTGTTTTATGATCCATTGTCCTGTAAAAACAAATGAAACTTTTTTGCTGTTGAGCATGGTCATTTTTCTAATACTGCTGTACCGTACATCAGCAGATCCTAGGTAGTAGTGCATGAACTGGACTCAAGGGCAAATTAGGTGAGTATTTGAGCGTAATATAGTGTACAAACATAGGTTATTGGAAATAATTATAGAAATGCACAGATGAGCGTCAAATAGTGTTGAGACATAGGGTATTGGAAGTAATTATAGAAATGCACAAACAAGAGTTACAAACAAAGAGTAATTATAATTAAATGGTCAA